TCAGTCAGACCTCCCTCGCCTGGTTCTTAGCCAGAACCAGCCATGCTGTCCTTCCTCACTGACCCGTTGGAGCCAATCTCGCACCCATTTCACAGCAGGCTCTGTGGCCTTGTCCGCCTAGTCTTTACGTTGATATCAGTGGCCCGTCTGCATGCAGGCAGCTCCCGCCGTGGCCAGCAGAACCTTTTGGTGATCAGTGTGTCCAGGCCGCCCCCTGGGCACCGCAAACAAAACGAAAACCTGCTCGCTTACTAACACAGCTGCGGGCAACTAGGGTTTTTCTTAACATTCCGTGAGCCATTGGTTCAGGGCATGGAGGGCTTATGGGGTGACCAGCCTTCTCACTCCCGGCCTGAAGGAGCAGGGAGGGAAGGGCCAGGCGTGCACTGGGCCATGCTGAAGGCGGCAGGACCCCCAGGCCTTCAGCCCTTGCCAGGCGAGGCCAAGCTTGTGGGTGCGACACCTCGGGACGAGGGCGTAACACTCACCTTGCAGCCTGTTTTAGTTTGAACACATCTTGAGAAATTGGGATAATTTGCCCCAAATCAGTTATTTCTGGCTTTTCTTAAAATACCAGAAGATTTGCAACAGAGGGCCCTCGTCCCTGTGGGGCAGCTGTCAGCTGGCACGGGCCAGAGGTCCTGGGGGCTGGACTGCTCCCTGACATGCCAGCTCTGAGGCCGGTGTCACCTGGCCACTCATGACCCTGGGCTGATGTAACGTGGTAAACGGATCCACAGAAGGGCATTCAGTCACCAATTTGTTTTTGTTGTTGTCGGTTTTTGTGGGAGTTGTTCGCCTCTTAACGTTTTTGTTAAGGTATAATTTATGTAAGTGAACCAGCTCTTGGGTGTTCCCTGAGGCGAGCTTCAATAGGCAGACAGTTGTGTAACCACCCTCAGGGAACACCCCAGCCTCTCGTGTGCCCTTTGCCCCCACTGTGATTCCCGGCACCAGGGATGCGGCGACCGTTCTAAGATTCGTACAGATGGGATCACAGAACGTGTCCATTTCTGTGTGTGGCTCTCTTGCCAGAGCATAACATTTCCAGGGCGTCTGCTGGCGTTCTGATGCGTAGTCTGGTTGCAGTGTGATCAGACGCTGGTGGGAGGAGCTTGTTCTACTTTTTGAAACTTACAAAGTTTTCTTTGACCGCTTAACGGTCAGTTTTCATGAGTCTCCCAGAGGAACTTGAAAAGAAAGCGTATTCTCTAGTTTTTAGCTACAAAGTTCAGTGTATGTCAGTCAGACGCACCTTTTTAATCATCACTTTATGTAGGTATTCTATTGGGTTGTCGGAAAAGTCATGATGTATTTTTTCTATATTTTTCATTGCAAAAATGCATCATGAGTTTTCCGACAACCCAATATTTCATTATTTGTATTTTATTCACTTGGACATAGAGAGACATGCTTGTATCAGTCTTTTCTTTAGTTTCTTTCAACATCTGTGTCTCTTTAATATTTCTGCTTTATCAGTGTTGCTGCTGTGTTTGGTGCGTGAGTATTCACGTCATGGTATCTTTGTGACTCGCACCTTCGTTCTGAAGAGCTGTTCTGTGTCTGTCTAGTCAGTGCGTTTGGCTTGAATTTTATTGGACCTGACAGTAAGGTCATGACACCTCCTTCCTTACTGGGTGTGTCTGGCCCGCTTTCTGAAACGCCTTTCTGAATTACTTTATTTTAGTACACCTCTTGTTTGTGATCCAACCTGAAAAGCTTTTTCTTTAATGTATGAGTCAGCTGTGATCGGTCTTAGTTCTGTCTTACTATTTGTATATCTTAATTTTCTGTCTTCTTATATATGATGTTTTGTTTTTAGAGTAAAGTCTTCTTTGCGTGGTCTGTTCCTTGGTTCGTCAGCCTCAGGGACGTGACTCTCAGTGATGGGCCGCAGGCCTGCTCCCCCCGCATCTGAGCATGGTTAGGGCACCCCCCACGCCCCCAGGACCCATGCCCACGTCTGTGTTTAGTACTTTCTGGGATTCCTTTTGCCAGCATTTTTGTCGTCCCTGGGTGAAGTCTGCCTTCTAGAAATGTCCTCAGGGAGAACTGTCCATCCTGTGTCGACCAACAGGAACACATGAGCTTTTTTAATTGGTCTTTTCAGTATTTTTAACAATTTTTAAAAAGATTTTATTGGGGAATTGGAGGAGGAGAACAGTGTTGGGGAATTGGGGGAGGGGAACAGCCAAGTTGTTGTCCTTCAATCTTAGTGGTGGAGGGCACAGCTAGCTCAACTCCAAGTCCAGTTGCAGTGCTCAGCTCAAGGTGCCCTGTTCAATTAGTTGCGGGTGGGCATAGCCACCATCCCATGTGGGAATCGAACCAGCAGCCTCGTTGTTAAGAGCGCACGCCCTATCCACTGAGCCATCCGGGTAGCAGCTCACCTCAAGGTGCCAAGTTCAGTCTTAGTTGCGGACAGGCGTAGCCCACCGTCTTGAACAGGCAACCTTGTTGTTAGGAGCACATGCTCTCACCAGCCGAGCCATCCTGCCACCTGTTGACAACTCAGCGGCAACTCAACTCAGGTGCAGCTCACTGGCCCATGTGGGAATCGAACCAGCGGCCCTGTTGCTCAGAGTTCACACTCTTGAGCAAGCTGTTAACCAACCAACCACTCGGCTGGCCCTGAAATTTTTCTAATAGGCTCGTTAAAAAGGTAGAGAGAAACAGTGAAATTAATGTGAGTAATTTATTTAACCTAGTATTATCTGAAACATTATCATTTCAATATGTAACCACATTATTTGAGGCTCTGTTTTTTAGACTGGGTTTTTGGAACAGTGTGTCTCTGACACTGGAAGCAGCTCAGTGGACCCACCGTGTTTCAGATGCCACGTGTGGCTGCCGCTGCCGGCCTGGGGCCTGCTGGTCAAAGAAGGTCACGGTGGCTGTGAAGCCTGCAGCCGCATTCTTTCCCTGCGTCCTGTAAGTGGGCGCTTGCACCTCCTGCCGGTGAAGTTGCTGAGAAACTGCTGGCCTGCATTCTCTGTAGGGGCTCGCCTGTTCTGATGCGTCATGTAAATGGGTTCATGCAGTACACGGCCTCTCATGTCTGGCTCTTTCCCTTTAGCAAAGCGTTCTCAGGGGCCGTCCACGTGGTGTGTGTGTCACGCTTCGTTCCCTTTGGTGGCCAAGTACTATTCCAGTCTCTGGATGTGCCCCGTTGTCTCTCCTTCCAGTTGAAGGACTTGGGTGGCTTCCCTGCTTGGCTCTCGGGAGCAGCGCTGCTGTGAACACTCGGCTCATGTACAGTTCCTGGTGTGAGTTCGTCTCTTGGGTGGGTTGGCGTGTTGCTGGGCTGTGGCTCTGTGTTCAGCCTGCACAGTGTAGGGCTGTGTCCACATTCACGTTCCCACCAGCCGTGGTGAGGGCCGCCGATCTTTCTAACTTTGTTTTCATTTCTTTTTCTCTTGAACTCATTTCTGCCCTGTGACCCCTGCTGTGTTTCCCAGTGTCCCCCGCTCACTGTGCTACTTCAGCTCCAGCTTCCTTCTGGCGGTGGGTGGATTCATGGTTTTTCTTCTGCTTCTTTCATGGCTCCAGGGTTCAGCTTCTGGGTCCTGGGGACTGCCTTGCAGCTGTGTGATTCCCCCCCTAGGGGGCGGGCTCCGCCCGTGGTGCCTCCAGAGAAGGACGTTGACAGTGGCTTGCACAGTAACAGACCAGGTTTCTCGGAGTGTTCTAGCACTGTTGAAAGGATGTTTGCATCCGAAGAGAAGAGCTTGGGGAGGACCCACATCTCCTGAGCAGGTGGAGAATGCAGCACACTCCATGAGTCCCTCCTTGACGTTCACACAGACCCTCTGGGCCAGAGTGACATGAAATCAGTGCTCCCCCAGCTTGATTACTCCCCTCCCTTATTACACTTCTCCAGAGTGGCTGCAGAGCCCCCGGTTCCCTCCCTGGTCTCCGCATACTTCTCAGGGAGACGGTCCTTGCCCCCCTTAAGATTTCAAAATGCCCAACAGCCCCCGTCTCCCTTCCTGGCTTACCACCTAGTGGACGTTGAATTCTGCCTCTTTTTCCTATTTGTGTACTGGGTGTCTTCCCTATTGGAACGTAAGCACCATGGAGGTGGGCAGGGACATTTGTCTTATCAGCTTTCACTGCTAGCTGCAGTTTTCCTCCCTGGAAGCGCGTTTGTAGGAATGAGGGAGTGGATTCAAGGGTGAAGAGGACAGGCAGCTCACAGCCATGTCAGCAGGCTCTCCTCAAGTATAGACTCTGGAGTCTAAGCTGCTATTGCTTATCTGCATCAAAGACGGGAACTGAAATCCTGGTTTACGTTTCTTTCCTTGGGAAAGTTTTATCAGAGCTCTGCCGTCCTCACTTTCTGACTTTCTGCAGGCAATTTGAAAAGGAAATACCGAGAGAGAGACCTGGGTTGTGAAAGGAACGGCTACTCACCCACCCTCCTGTCCATGCTGCCCGGCTTGCCCTGTGTGGTGCCAGAAGTTATTGGGGCGTCCCTGCTCTCTGCCCACTGCGCTCTCACTGAGGCCCCCGCTGCGCCGCCTCCTTGGTTCCCACTTGTCCCCTCTCTTGGGTGGCCGAGTGTGCGTTCGAATCTCACCCACAGAGCATGCGCTTCACATTGTACCTGCTGTGAAACCCTCCGTCCCTCTTTCCGTGTTCTTCTTTCTGCCCTTTCTCTCCATCACCAGATTCCTGTGCCAGTGCACCCTGGTCTGGCGTGGGAGCTGGCACTGGCACTGGCACTGTTCTCAGTGGCTCTCCCCAGCCTCCTCAGGCCCTGTTCTCCCTTCTGTGGGAGAGGCCGCGTTCCTAAGCTGGTCCTGACAAGATAACGTTTGCTACGTGGCCTTTTCCTCCCCCTCCTGACAGGACACTTAACGACCTGTTCACGGTCCTGCAGGATTAGCTGTTATTACGAGGCATGTGGCGAGTGCGCGATTCCACACAGCTCAGCAGGGCTCAGCCAGAAGGAGACCGGTGGACACAGAGCCACTGACCGTCTCTTCTTTCATCCTCAGAGCCCCCCAAGATGAACCCAGTGGTGGAGCCGCTGTCCTGGATGCTGGGCACCTGGCTGTCGGACCCGCCGGGCGCTGGGACCTTCCCGACGCTCCAGCCATTCCAGTACCTGGAGGAGGTGCACATCTCCCATGTGGGCCAGCCCATGCTGAACTTCTCGTGAGTGAGCCCGTGGCTGGGAGAGGGTCAGGCTGACAGCAGGGAGGGGGGCATGCTTCCGGAAGGCACCTCTGCCGTCCTTGACCCCACAACTGAGACACACCGTGGGTAAAAGTGGGACTTGCGGCTGTGTGTGTGTGTGTGTGTGTGGTGATGCCAAGCTGGCAGGACCTCCACATATAGTGAGGTGCATGCCCCGCTGACTCCCTCATAGCATGGAAACCAGTCACCCGGTGGCAGTACTGAGAGGAAGCGGGCATGGCTTTCTTTTACACATTCCCCTAAGTAGAGGCCTCAAAGAAGCTGTGAGTGTTATGGTTCCAAGATTTTTACTGGACAGCAAAGCAAAATTCCTTTGAGGGCCCCCAGCTGTGTCTATGTCCCCCCACCCCCATGCACACAGTAGGAAAGATGGTACACCTTTAAGGAGGCAGGTTGCAGTGTTTGGCAGTGAAATGGGGGGACCAGGGGAGATGGCTAAGAATATTTTTATTTTTAATTACAGAGGTAACACACATTTATTAAAGTTTAAACAATAAAGAGGGATATAAAATAAAAAGTAAAACTCTATCCTTCCCCCCAAGCTCCACTATACAATTAATTATATTAAGCATCTTATTAGCTTGATACTATTTGTATAATGCTTAGCAACTTGAGAAGGATTTAGAAGATCTTATTTTAAAAACAATATCTCATACCTTTTTGTATTATTCTTGACTGAATGGATGAGGGCAAAATAATATCCTGCTCATAACCCCAAAGGTGGAAATTCTGGGTAACTCAAAATGACACACAATGTAAAGCCATCATTTAAAACTATGGGTTACAACCCAATAGAAAATTTTGTGACTAGCATTGATTTTCTTTTAATGCTAGTCACTCAGTTTTGTGACTAGTATTAAAAGAAAAATGAAATAGAGTAGAAAGTACATGTTTTGGTAAAGCCAGTGGTGTGTGTGTGTGGTGGGTTATGACCTGAGATGTGTCTCGTTAGGGCTTTCGGTGGAGGGCGCGTGTGTTGATGTGGATTGTAGGCACAGTGCTGCTCTGTCAGCTGTGTGTCTGTCGTGGGACAGTGTAAGGATGGCCCGTAGCTAGGGCCGCCGTGTTGTTTTAAGCTTCAGTGTTCTGTGTGCAGCTTTCCTCACCACCGAGAAGGCGCAGTTGTGAGGCGGGTTACGTTTTCCACCGCAGGAAGAAACCGTTGGACTTGTGGGTGAGAGGGTGGCTCCCAAGAGGGCAGGCCAGGTGTCAGGGTGGGATTTTACCTCTTGGTGCTGAGGGCTGAAGTGTGTGAGGTGCACCGGCCAAAAGGGCCTCGGGGGAAGGGTACCCTGAATTATAAAGAGCAGGTGCTGTCCTTGAGGTGGTGGTCAGCCCAGCGGAGTAACTTGAGGATAGGGTGCCGGGCGGTGCTTCCAGGCTGGAGTAGAAGCCCCGGCGCACCTGGCAGCCGCAGCCCACACGCGTGGTCGCCCAAGTCCCCACAGTGTCCTCTGTATGTCTGTTATCTGTTTCCGCATGGCGAAGAGTGTGGTGTCTTGTTCTGGGCGGGTCCCTGTGCCCCTGTGCTCATCCCCTGCTCCCCGTCCAGGTTCAACGCCTTCCACCCAGACACGCGGAAGCCAATGCACCGGGAGTGTGGCTTCATCCGCCTGGAGCCCGACACCAACAAGGTGGCTTTCGTCAGCGCGCAGAACACAGGTACCCCTCCCGGCCTGGCCCCTGCTCACGGGTACATTTGTGGGGGACAGTTGGGGCACAGAGTGATCCTGTAGACGCCTTTCAGGGTGGGAAGCATCAGGCCTTTGGACATGTGGGGGCCAGGGTCCCTGTCTGCCACGTCTGGGGGTTCCTAGGAGGTGGGTGGGACCATAGGAGCGTCTCTGCGAGAACTGGCTGATTTTCTTTTTGCCTTAGCCTCTTCAGTAACAGCGCACTAGTGGCGCACAGGGCTTCTCCGTAGGGCGGGGCTCTGGGGAGAGGTGCTCGCTGTCCAGCTGAAAGCTCTCTGTCTGGAGGTCTGCTTTGCCCCCACAGTGAGGTCACCCTAAAATAGTTCATGAATTAGAAATTACTCAGAACTCACCCATTAACCTTTACCTGCTCACCTGCTCAGGTGAGTCTCACTTTCTGGAAGCAGGTGGAGTGCCAGGACCAGCCAAGTCTGGACTGGAGCTGCCCAGAATGTTGGTGGGCTGGAAGTTGGGGGCAGCCAGAGGGCGTCAATCCCTCTGGCCCGGTCCCTCCTCTCAAATCCCAGGGGGCCTATCTGATGGGGGAGGTTGGATCAGGGCACCCCTGGGGAGGGCAGCCCCCTGCCCCGGCTGTAAGAAGAGCTGTGTCTTTTCCCTCTTGATGCCAGGAGGTTCACTGTAGGCAAGGAGGCCTCTGGGCCTTGGGGGCTGCACAGCTCCGAACTGGTAGAGCCCTGATGGCAGGCGGCCTAGGAGCTGGGGCAGCGCAGCGCTGTGGCGCCGTTGTGCACTGACCGTCTTCCCTTGCAGGCATCGTGGAGGTGGAGGAGGGGGAGGTGAACGGGCAGGAGCTGTGCATCGCGTCCCACTCCATCGCCAGGATCTCCTTCGCCAAGGAGCCCCACGTGGAGCAGGTGAGTCCATCGTGACACGCCGCTCCGTTCCTTGACATGCCACTGCATCTTGGACACCTTTCTGTCTCCACGGCCCATCCTCTTCCCCGCTTCCCGCACGTGCTAGGGTGGGGGCGCACCTGACTCAGTTACCCAGTCCCTGGCTGGTGGACAGTGAGGTGCTCTCAGGTTCGTTGTTGTTTTCCTGTCACAAACGTCCTTTTGCATGTGTGTTGCCCACTTTTGCAAAAATACCCAAATCAATTGGATAACTTTTTCCTGGGTGCATTGTTGGATCAAAGAATAGGTACATTTTAAATTGTGATGGATGCTCTTCAATTGCTTTTCTCAACGACTGCGTTCCGTCGCACTTAGTCTAGGACAGCTTGTGGGGGGGTGAAGACCTAAGGGCTGTGTAAGCAGAACGTTTCCATATCGTCGTCTAATTTGTTGTTGATGGCTATGGGGAAATTTCCGGTTTCTGTGTGTTTCTGTCACAATCTGACCACTGGGTCTCGGCCCAGCACTGACAGCAGCAGAGTGAACACATGCTGACCTGCCATGGGGTCGGTACTGTTGTGTCTTGCCCTTGTGAGACGCCTGCTATAGACTTGTCACTGGTGGACAACCATTGCCAGGTCAAAGAGACCCTATTTCTCGTGTGCTAAGAAACCCTCAGGAAAGGGCTTTGAGTTTCATCAAAGGGTTTGCAGCCTCTTTGGGGAGGAGTCTGTTTTTTCCACTGGAAGCTGTCGATGCAGTGAATTATATTAATTTCTAAGCATGAGTCATGTTTCTTTTACAAAGATCACTCTTCCTAATCATGATATGTTTAATAATTCTTTCAGCTATCGCTGTCCATGCTGGCATCAGCTATTCATAAAATTAGCTGGGAGCTGTTTAGCTGTGTCTGTTCTCTGATAAAGGGTGGCCCCTACAGGAATTGGTGTTGATCTCTCTGGAAGGCAGCTGGGGTTGTTCACCTTGAGGTCCCTACCTTGCTTCATATGCAGATTTATGTCTCCCAGGAAAAGTGTCAATTTCATTGAGATATTTGGAGTTTTAGGAAAAAGCAACACATACCCCTTTCTTTTTATCTGCCACCCATGTTGCCTGTATTTCTCTGTGACTTCTCTATTTCTTGCTCATACTTGCCAGAAGGCTGCCAATTTTATCAGTTTTGTTTGGATTTTGTTTACTTATTTTTAGTAGAGAACTAATGTTGGGTTTTATTAATTAAACAAAAAAGTGCCTCTTCTGCCAAACGGAGAGTGGGCAGAGGTGAGGCCTGTGGGGGTGGGAATGAAGGGAGGGCTCAGCTCTGCCCAGGCTGAACACACGTGCCTGGATGGCCGTCCGCCTTAGCTTGACCTTCCCTCCTGGGTTGGCCTTTTCTCCTGGTTGCCATGGGCAAAATGAGGGGCTGAAGCAGCTCACAGTGGAGGCCAGAGAGTGGGCTCCTGCCCCTCTGCCACTCAGCCCGACCCTTCTCTGTCACCCCACTGCCTGTGCGTGTTCACTTAACACCCCACAGTCCGAGTGGCAAGTGCTGTACACCAGCCCTGAGATGGACCAAGTCCAGGCCCGTGCCCCTTTTGATACTGAGGGTCAGAGAGGACCCCCCTTCAGAACCTCCCCGCCTCCTGCTGGCCCAGTCCTGAGGTGGGGACTCCTGCATCGAGGTTGCAGGCCAGCTGCTCCGATTACGGTCGGTGAGGCTGACAACCTCCTGTTGGTCTTGGGCCGCCCTCTAGTGAACTCCTGCTCGAGCCTGCTCACCACCTTCTGTTGCGCCTTTTCTTACTGACATGAGTTCTTCGAAGAATTGGGATATAAGCCCTTTGTTAGTTACATATGTTGCAAATATCTTTTCTAGTCTGTATCTTTTCACTATTTTTGAGAAACAGAAGTTCTCAGTCATACATGGTTCAATTTACCAGTTTCTTTCTTTGTGGACTCTGTTTTTTAATGTGTTTTATATAAGCAGTCTTCCCTAAGAACAGATCAGAAAATACATATTCTATTTTTTTTCCTGGAAGCTTTACAGTTTGACCTAAAACGTTTCCTTTCGGTCATGAATGCACCTGGCATTGAGTGCCGTGCGTGGCATGAGAGGGGGGTCCACTTTCCTCTTCCCCAGAGAGACGACCAGCTGCCCTGGGTGGCTGCTGGAAGGGCCCATCCTCCTTGCTGTCCTGAGCACTGTCCCCCTTTGGGCCCTGTTGCTTGTTCGCTGTCCTTTCCCAAGTGGTATGGAAACCAGAGGGCAACTGAGCCCGGGTCATAGAATAAGCGTTTATATCAGAGCACCGGTGGTCTGAGAAGGCAGTGGGTTAACACCTCCCAAAACTGCCTTCCCATTCCCAGACCGGCTGGGGGTGTTTAAGGGAAAATCAGGGTGTTCTCCCAGAGGCTGCATGACAGGATATCCTGGAGGTCTGTTCTTCTTTCATGATGCCCACTTATGTCATGGTATCTCTTGTGGCTCCAGTTGAGGTTCGGTGGGGGAGTAACCTGGGAAAATGCTAAGCGATAGAGTTTGTGGTTAGCAAGCATCTACAAGGTGATCCAAGATAAGGAGCAGGAACTGGGACAGGGCATCCCGGAGGCAGTCTCAGCTCAGCCACAGTGGGTGTGAAGCCCACCTGGATGGGGGCAGGGCATCCCCAAAGCATTCTGAGTACAGGGGGCCCACATGGGCCCTGCTTCAATAAATAGGTGTTGAATTCTGACAAATGCTTTAGCTGTAACTATTGAGATGATTATGTGATTTTTCTCCTTTAGTCTCCTAATTTTATGAATTAGGTTTTCAAATGTTGCACCAACTTTACATTTTCTTTCTTTCTTTTTAATTTTTTGCACCAACCCCACTTCGTTGTGATGACTTGTCATTTTTGCTATTGCTGATTTTATGTATTACTAAACTACATAAATTGGAAGATTTTTACATCATATTATTTCTTTTATTTCTTATTCTGGGTTTAATATCTTTTTTTCTTTTTTCTTTTTTGGTTTCTTAAAGAGAAACTTGGATCATTGATATTAAGCCCCTTTTTATTTTGTAATACACTATTTGAAGCTATAAATTTCCATTTAACACCTGCTTTAGCTGTTTCCCACAAATATTAATATATTGTGCTTTTATTATCTGCTGGCTCAAAATATTTTGTTTCTCTAATTATTTTCTTCTTTGAACAGGGTTATTTATTTTTATTTTTTTTAATCTTTTTTTTAAGATTTTATTGGGGAAGGGGAACAGCCAAGTTATTGTCCTTCAGTCTTAGTTGTAAAGGGCGAGGCTAGCTCAGCTCCAAGTTCAGTCACCATCTGGCCAGCTGGCGGCAGCTCAAGGCAGCTCAGTTCAAGGTGCTGTTTTCAATCTTAGTTGCTGGTGGGCGTAGCCACCATCCCATGTGGGAGTCGAACCAGCAGCCTTGTTGTTAGGAGTACATGCTCTCACCAGCTGAGCCATCCTGACACCTGTTGGCAGCTCAGCGGCAGCTCAGCTCAGGCACAGCTCACTGGCCTTTGTGGGACTCCATCCAGCAACCCTGTTGCTCAGAGCTCACGCTCTTAACCAACTGAGCCACTTGGCCAGCCCTGGAACAGTGTTATTTAGAAGTGTGTTGGACTGGCCGAGTGGCTCAGTTGGTTAAGGGTTAGCTTAAGAGCGCAAGCTTTGGGCCGGCCGAGTGGCGCGATGGTTAAGAGCTGGCTTGGGACGCCAGAGGGCCCCGGTTCGGATCCCACATATGAGGGCCAGTGACACTGCCCTCTACAGCTAAGATGCTGAACAACAGCTCAACCTGGAGCTGGGCTGCTGTGAGTCACCGGCGATGGCGTAGACTGTAGCTCCTGCTGCAGTGGCTTGCCATGGGCTACCGTGTATAGCCGGCAGCCAGCGTGAGCGGCCAGCAGCCGCAGTGAGCAGCCGTCCAGAAGCCAGCGACTGATGTGCCTCGCCGGGGAGGAGCGCAATGATGGTGCCAACTTGGGCCAGTGAAGCAACGTCCTCCACAACTAGACTGAACAAAAGGACAGCAACTTGTCTGTTCCCCTTCCCCCAATTCGCCAGCACTGTTCCCATTCCCCAATTTAAAAAAAAAAAAAGCATGCAAGCTTTGAGCAACAGGGCCGCCAGTTCGATTCCCACATGGGCCAGTGAGCTGCACCCAAGCTGAACTGCCAACAGGTGGCAAGATGGCTCAGCTGGTGAGAGCATGTGCTCCAAACAACAAGACTGCTTGATCGATGGTGGGCTACGCCCGCCTGCAACTAAGACTGAACTCGGCACCTTGAGCTGAGCTGCCGCCCGGATGGCTCAGTGGATAGAGCATGTGCTCTTAACAACAAGGCTGCTGGTTCGACTCCCGCATGGGATGGTGGCTACGCCCACCTGCAACTAAGACTGAACTTGGCACCTTGAGCTGAACTGCTGCCCGGATGGCTCAGTGGATAGAGTGTGCGCTCTCAATGAGGCTTATGGCTCGACTCCCACATGGGATAGTGGCTACGCTCACTCGCAACTAAGATTGAACTCAGCACCTTGAACTAAGAGGCCAAAGCTGCCGATGGGCAGCCAGATGGCAACTGGCGTCCTCCACAACTAAGATCGAAGAACAACTTGGCTGGTCCCCTCCCCCAATTCCCCAACACTGTTCCCCTCCCCCAATTCCCCAATTAAAAAAAAAAAAGTCTGTTACCTATTTTCCAAATATTTGAGGATTTTCTCCATGTTCTATTATTAATGATTTTTAATTCAATTCTAAAAGCCCAGAGAGCATGCTTTTCTTTAGAGCTATTTTATGCTACAATAATACACGATTAACTTGTTGAATGTTTCATGTGTACTCAAAACAACAATTGATGGGTGTAGTAGACTGAAAATGCCAGTTAGATCAAGTTGATTGATAATGTCATTCACATTTTCTTTATACTACTGATTTTTGGGGGGGCATGTGGTATGGTTCTGTCTAATTACTAAGAGGCGTTAAAATCTCCAACTATGATTGAGGCTGTTT